ATGTTGGGCTGTGGTGTGATGTGTGTCCAGAGCCTGCTCAGTGCAGGCTCCTGGACTTCAGTCTGGATTTTTCTCACTCCAGGTTCCTGAAGAGGGAGGGGGTTGGACCTTTCATTCCTTCTGAGCTGAACCAGACCCGGGATTTGCTCTCCCTCCCCAAACTCACCCCGACATTGCTGTCTCCCTTCTGTGCTGAGGAGAGGGGCATCTTTTTCTTGCAAACACAATTTTTTCTCAGTTTTATTTCACTTTTGCATCCACAGTAACAAACATTAATGCAGAAACAGGACAGAAACTGTCCCAGAATGTGCAGTGCCAGAGCCTGCAGGAAACCCATAAACCTGCAAAAACCCAGGCCAACCCAGGGATGTGGGAAAACTGAAATGCAGGAAAAGCAAGACATTATTTTCTCCATCGTCCTGGAAAGCTGTATGTGAATTCTTTCAGTTATCTGCTATTTATTTATTTACTTATTTTGGCAAAAGACAAATAATGAGAAATACCAATGACAGATTCAGAAGCCGAATGTTTCACCCCGACTCCCTCCACGGATCAACCTTTCTGCTCATCTAAAACAAGTATTAGTGGGTTTATGCTCTTCTTGTATTCTCCTCCAGGGAAATAATATGAGGGAAATAATCCTTGAGAGACCCAGCTGGAATATTTCCTTCTTGTCTTCAAGCAGTGACTCAGGTCTTCCTTGATGTTAGGGGGCTCCCATGAAGAGTGATCTTCCCTCTTCCTCCTTCAAAGCCAAGGGTTTCAGGTCTTGGATGCCACCAGCAGACCTCCAGGTGCTTGCATGATGGTCTGTTCCCTGCCCCGCCTGAGGTAGGGAGGAATTTAAAATTTAGAATAATAGAATCACTAACGTTGGGAAAAAACTTTAAAGTCATCGAGTCCAGTTGTCAACCCAGCACCACCCCCATGTTCACCACTACAGCAAGTCTCCAAGTGCCACATCCACAGGTTTTCTGAGCACTTGTTGGGCTGGTGAATCCACCACTGTCTTGGGTAGCCCATTCCGATGCTTTACACCCTTTCCATGAAGAAAAATTCTCTAAAATCCAACCTGAGCCTCCCCTGGCCCAGCCTGGGGCTGTTCCCTCTCCTCCTGTCCCTGTTACCCCCCGGCTGTCCCCTCCTGGCAGGAGCTGTGCAGAGCCACAAGGTTCCCCCTGAGCCTCCTTTTCTCCAGGCTGAGCCCCTTTCCAGCTCCTCAGCCTCTCCTGGAGCTCCAGACCCTTCCCAGCTCCATTCCCATCCTGGACTTGCTCCAGCTGCTCAAGTTCTCTCCTGCAGCGAGCGACCCAACACCACCGCAGCATCCGAGAGGGGCTGGAATTTTTTGTCCCTGGGAAGAAAAAAACCAACAAAAACCCTAAAAAAAAAAAAAAAAAAAAAAAAAAAAAAAATTTAAATCCCCGTCCCCGGGCCGGGGGGGCGACCCAACACCACCGCAGCATCCGAGAGGGGCTGGAATTTTTTGTCCCTGGGAAGAAAAAAAACCAACAAAAACCCTTAAAAAAAAAAACAAACCAAAAACAAAACAAAAAAACCCCAACCCTAAATAAATCTCTGATTTTTGCGAAGGCACCTCCCTGCAGAGCCCGAGGGGAATGCTGGCGTTCCGAGCCGTCCATCCCGGCTCCGGGCTGCGCTGGCCGGGAGGAGCTGCCGGGGGCGAGCCGCGCTGGCCCCGCGCCCTCCGCACGCCCCGGCGCTTCTGTCTGACCATTTTTGGCTCCTTTAGGCTCCTCCAGAGCTGCACGGAATATGTAATGCCCTGCACCGGGCTGCCGGGGAGCCTGAGTGCGGGTTGCAAGGAGAGATCCTCTCCCTGCATCACTTTTTGTGCTGCTCTGAAATAATTTTCCTTTCTCCTGCAGCTGCTCTAAAGCCAGAAGAACTTTGTCTATATTTGTTTCCAGGATGCCTTTTTCTCCTCTGCTTACAACTATAAAAGCAGCTTTTCATGCTTCAAATCAGAGATAAATGGAAGTCTCTGCTGAAAAAATAAAACACAAGGCTAATCAAATTGTGGCATGGAAGCAGCCTTCAGCCAGTGCACTTTTGAGAGCAGTTTTTAGACGACATTTTTATTTTGTCACTCCATATGGGAAGTCAAACCCATGTGGTTTGGGAGAATGGAAGGTTGTGCTTTTATAGTGATCTCACGAACTATCCCAGCCCAGCTTTGTCCTTAAACTCGTGCTTAAATCCAATTGTCAGAGGTGGGACTGGAGGTTGTACCAGCACAAATCCCTCCTGAATGTAGAACTATTCCACATTTGTTCAACCAGTCTCCAGTTAACTCAGCTCTTCTTAGTTACAACTTTTCTCATTCTGCACCTTCATTTTTTTCCTTTTTAATCTCTTCATCCCTGCCCCAGTGTTCTGGGGCCCTGCTGGATGTGTTTGGTCCAGTACCAGCCAGGATGCCAAGCTGGGCATCCACAGCCATCACCCTCCTGCTCTTCACAGCAGATGTTGCTGTCTTCCAAATATCCAGATTTCATTAATAATGAAAATTTTGAGGCATAGGACTTCATTCTGTCCACAACACCTTGGCAAATTCTGAGTACGCTGATGGAGCAATAATTGGCTAGAAAAGGTATTTTTCTGTCATCCTAAATGTATAAAATTGGAAATGTATCCTCAGTGCTCATCCACCAGAATATCCACTTTATTAAGTGTTTAAAGTTTTTTGTGATACTGAACCAAAACTTATGTGTCTTTTAAGGATTTTTGCGGCATGGTTAAAAACACTGACAGGAAGTTTCTAACGTGGTAAATTTCAGAGGATCATTTTATGGGTTTTTCAATTGTAATCCTGGAATTTCTTCCCTTTGCAGTTTTTCAAAAGGTGGAATTAAATAAACTCAAATGGCAGGAAGATGCAACTGGATGCTTTTATAGGTAAAATAGTGAGGAGAGGCTCAGAAATGTGCGTGATTTGGTTTAGTGGATGTGGTGGAATTGGGGTCAAGGTGGGAATGGATGATCTTGGAGGTCTTTTCCAAACTGTGATTTTGTGACTCTGTTATGTGAATTACAGATGCTCAGGGTAGCAAACACCCCGTGGAGCTGCTCTAACTTAGGGAAAAGTCTTTTCCTGTTTTAGTTTTGATTCCAGAGTTGTATTTAACCTCAGTGTAGAAGGAAAACTAAGGAAAGAGCAGGGCATTGGCAGTTAATGTTTTATGCTTTTTTTTCTTTCCTTAGGAAACAATTCTCCCATTTTTGAGAGGATAAAGTGCAATGGGAACAAGACTGCTCAGAGAAGAATTCCTTGGGACAGAAGGATGGGCAGCATGGAGATTTCTGAGATGGTTTGGATGTCACTTCCATCAAGTTGAAGGAATGTTATGCTAAAACTGTTCATCAAAACTGACCTCTTACGGATTATTTTGTTGGAAAGTCAAGAGAACAACCACTGATTTTTTCCCCAGGGCAGAAATGTTTTGTTAGAGGAGAAAATGAGAAAATAACCAGACCCCAAAAGAGGGGAAAAGAGAAAACCTGAGATTAGAGCAGAGAAAAGGTATCAAAAGAAATTTGATGAAGCCCTAATTGTATCTAAAATCCATGACTGGTTTGAAATCCAAGGAACTACTGTCACATTATTTATGACACATTATTTCTATAGTCAGAAAACCCTCATCTCTTGTATCCCACTTTCAAAAGTACAGTCTATTCCATTCTGAAATCCCCAAAACAAGGGAAAACACCTGGATTTATGGTACTTGGGAGTATTGGCTTGGGATGCAAGCAGCTGGATTTTCCCAGGAATTATTCTGGAATTTTTGAGTAACACAAATCCTGGCACAGGTGCTGGGGGGTGGTGTGGGTACAGGAGCACTGCCAGGTGGGCTCAGGGTGTCACTGCTGTCCCTGGATGTCCCTTGGCACACTGGAGCATCGCAATCCAGGTAAATCCAGCCAGGAATCTGCAGTGGCTTCAGCAGAGCTGGAATTCCATCCCAGTGTGACACGGGCTGGTGACATGGAGTGATGTCAAGTCACTGATGTAGAACTGGGAAGATTCCTTGTCACATAACTGATCCCACTGTGTTCCCAAATCTCCCTTGGGAAATTTTCTACCAAGTTTCCATTCCCATTGCAAATACATGGATAACATATTTAGGCATTATCCTTAAAAAAGTAAAGAAGCAATTTCTTTAAGAGATGGGTGCTCTGTAGAAGACATTTGTGTAATTTTGCATTCTAAATGTGATTTATATTTATAAATAAATTTGCATAAAATCTCCAGCTCTTGATGTCATAGTTCTATTCTATCTTTAATTCAGATGCTCAAAAAATGTAAATTGTTTTTATAGCTAAATAAAAGCCATACAAAGCTTCCAGGAGAGAATAATGAGATACACATTGTGCCATGCAGCCATGATAAATCAAGCAGCACCATGGTTACAGCCAAAGTGGGAGGCCATCACAAACCAAGGAATATCAGCACACAGAGATTCCTTTGGTTTTGCAGACTGATCTGAACTGGGAGAAACTTATGACATGGGTTGATAAGGGAAAATATTTACCTGCAAGTCAAACAGGCCACTAAAATGAGGAGGAACACTTGATTTAGATGGTGGGGGTTTATTATATTTATTATACTATTTATACAATATATTTATCAGCCATATTTGGACCAGGCTCTGCATATATGCAAAATAAAGATACCAGAATTTTTGTAACGGAGGTGGGTTTGCCAATGAAGTACAGACTTATAAAATATAGTTTGGCCATGAAGATGGCATCAGAGAGGAGGGGTATTGGGATCCTTTCAGTCAATAAAAGGCTCCAAATGCTGCAGATCTGGATTAACCAACAGATTAAAAACTGGGTTCCCCTCATCAACAATTAACTCAAACATGAGGAGATAATTATCCCAAATGAAGGTGTGAAAAACCTGTGGGATGGGAGTCATAGAAGGGTAAATAAAAGGTGCAGAAAAGGCTCAGCCTCCCTTCCTGATGGAGAGGCTCAAGGAATAATTTACCTGGATTTTCAAGAGGACAAACCTTGCATTCTGTGACTTGTCGTGGCTGATGCAGGTAGGTCTCATAATTCTCTGGTTTTACCTCATATCTGACAATGTCTCCCAGTACAACTAGTATTTTTTTCTGTTTGTTTGCTGCTGGAAATGTCTAAATCCACCCTGCTCTTCATGGCTTGTGTAGGATGCACTAAAGATGATTTTCACAGCACTGCTGATCTGTTTGCTGAGTTATGCTGATCTTGCTTAGTTAAGCTCAATTTTAAGGTCAAACAGGGTCAGTATTAAGGTCAAACACTCCAAGAGTCACTTGACGATTTTGGAGGTCTTTTCCAACCCTAATGATTGCAGGTTTCTGAGAGTGGCTCTCCAGGAGCTGGGTGGCTGCTCCAAGGCCCTTTGCAGGAGGAAGGGTGCAGAAGAGCAGGAGTGATGGAGAAATGTGTCCAGTGTTTCTGGATGAGTGACTACAGGGAATTCTTGGACGAGGCAGCTGTGACAGGCTCTCCTGTAGAGCCTAAATTTTGCAGAATGTTTGTACTAGAATTTCCAATTTCATTTTATGGCCAAATGTGTACAGCCAACCTGGGTGTGCTGGGATCTGCTGCTTTTCCCTTGGGGTTTCTTCTTCCACACAAAAGAAAAGAAGTGTGGCTTAGTGCTAAATTGTAAACTGGCACCAGCCAGGCCCCTGTGGGATTCTGAGCACCTCCTTGAGAGGTGCTGAGCTGTTTAAGCCCCGTGGACCCTCAGCATCCTGAAGGAGAGATCCCGTGGTGCTCGGCGTTCCCAGGCGCGTGGACAGCGGTGGCAGTGAATGGGGACAGCCCAAAACTCCCTCAAAAGCAGAGCTTTGTTCTGCTGAATTGGGCAGTGAATGCTTTGGGCATCCCAGAGAGCCTGGCCAGCCCTGTTGACTCCTAAGGACCACTCGTGTGCCTTAATTGAGGCAGTGCCTGAATGCTTTAACTGGGTGGGATCAGCGCAGGCATCCCTGAATGTCAAGCTCTCTTCTGTGTCTGTTTTCTAAAGCTAATGACCACCAGGCATTAAAAACCCAGTTCTGGGTTTTGGAGATGCTGAGGCATCTTGTTTCCTATTTGCAAAAGTGAATGCCTTCACCTTATAGTAAAATGTCTTTACTTCCAAGACGTTGGAGCATAGGAAAACAGAGTGTTGCACACTTAATGCCCTCAGAAGTTTTCAGCTACATTAAAATGTCCATAACTTTAAGAAAAAAAACCTAAATAATGCTGCTTAGAAATATTTAAAAACAAAAAATCACAGTCAGCAGACAGCTCTTATGACAAGGCTCTGCCCAGAGTGAATTTTTATGCTTGAGTTATAAACCCTTGAAAAATGGGGATCCTAATACAAAAGCTGACACAGCTTTAACTAAAGCAGCTCTAGTAAGTGCTGCTGTAATTATTTGCTCATTAATTACAAATTTTGCAAGACATGAGAGTAACACAAATTGGAAAATAGGAATAATTATCAGTAATAACGCCACAGAAGCTGGACACATTGAAAGTATCTTCCTCTTTAAATTTAATAATAGCAAGACAGCTAGAAAACTAATAAGAAATACATAATTGAAAATTAACCTTGCAAATCTGCTGTTAATAAACCATGGTACTCTTGCACTACAATAATTTTACACAGCCCTTAATTTGCATTTGAAGTGTTATTCCAGGTAATACTTTGTGCCTTCACAACAATTAATGTGTCTTTGAATTAAAACAAAAACGCCAAGGTTGGATTTGGGATGGCTGGAGAGGAGGGAATGGTTTATCCTGTCGTTTTTAGCAGCTCGGAGCTGGGATGGCTGGAAATCAAATGTACAATGGGGATTTTTGTGCTGGGATGCCTCAATGCTGTTTTGTTGTTGTTGAATCCGGGCATTGTGGCGTTCCCTGCTTTCATCCTCCCCTTGTGCAATCCACCACTCGGGCTCTCGGATCACTTGCACTTTCTCATCCTCCGAGGTGTGAGACTCGATTGCTCGGGGATGATTTAAACATGCAGGGCACAGGGAAGGGGGAGTGTGTGCTCCTTGAGCTCCCTTGCTGCAGCGCAGGCTTTCGAGTGGTTTTCATGGATCTGATGGGGGCAGTGCTGGAGGCACTGGGATTTGCTGGGCAGGCAGAGTCAGTGCAGCCCCTGGCTTAATGAGAGGAGCTGCTGGCACCTCGTGCCTGAGATTTTTTCACCACTCAAAGGGAAGTGGCACTTCCTTCTGAATGTTTTATATCTGTTAGCAATTGACAAAAGGCTCCAAAAATCTTAAATCAATCAATTTGCATGTAAAGATGAAGAGAATTGTTTACTCAAAACGCAGACTGAGTCAACTGCTCTTGCTAAGTATCTCCCACTCACAAAATAAACCTGATATATATCTCTGCCTGCACAGAAAACTCGGAGCCAAGAAGTGTTTAATAATTTTGGAACTCATATCTAGTGAGCTCTGAGTGCTCAGCTGAAAGAAAGGACAGATTCTAGGAAAAAAATCATGCCTGACAGCAGACTTGTATTACATTGCAATACTAATGGCAGTGGAGGTATATGCAGGCACTCAAAGTTGAGTATGACCAAGCAGCTTCAACAAAAATAAAATAAAAATAGAAAAAATAACCCAGAGACCTCCAGTGTTTGGCATCAGAGAGGAGGAACATTGTACACAAACAATTGGGTTAAGAGTGTGCACTCCAAACAGGGTTTCTGCACAATTCCAAGCTCCATCAAGGGCTGCATGTAAAATGTTGGCTTCTTTGTGCAAACCCACAAATCCTGGGGAAAAGGCCACGTGGGGTCAGCAATTCAGCTGTTTGCCTGCTCACTTTATGTAAGAGGTTAGCAGCAGTGTGCTTTTTGTCCCAAGCCAGCAATAGCAGGAACAGCTTGGTTCTGAGAGCGCTGGGGCTCCCCTCGTCGTGCTGGAGAAGGGGTCCTGAAATAAACCTTGGATGGGGATAGCCTTTGATTTGACCTCTTCTGCATTTATCTGGCTGTGTGTGTTCGACTCCCATCGTCCCCTCAGCCTGTGAAGCTCAGACACCACCAGCACAGGTATTTTGCCTTAGTTTCAGCGTGTTTCAGGGGTTTTCAAAACATGGCAATGTGAGAAAATAAGGAATTTTGGGTCCCCAAGCTCTTCCCCTGGAGGGATTGGATGGAAAGCAAATCTTCTATCTGCTCCCAGCCCCTCGGTGAAATCCCAGCAGCATCCCAGGTCTCTGTGGCTTCAGCCCAAGGAGGAGGGAGAGGATTTCCCCTTCCAAATACCTTTGGAATTGGGTACATAGTAAAAAAAAGAAAATTGAAATATTTCTTTACAATCTCTTCTGCTTTGGGGCAAAGCTCTTGAGCAGTGGAGTAGATCTTGTTTTAGGGTGTGAGACTCTGGCACAGGTTGCCCAGAGAAGTTGTTGCTGCTCCATCCCTGGAAGTGTCCAAGGCCAGGACTTGGAGCACCTGGGACAGTGGAAGGTGTCCCTGCCCATGGCAGGGTGGATTAGTTGGTATTTAAGATTCCTTCCAACCCAATCCATTCTGTGATTCCATAATTTATGTGAGCTCAGTGTGACCAAGCTTGAACTTGCTGATGTGAAGGAGGTTTTGGTTGATCCATTGGGATTTGGGAATGGAAGAGAGCAAGGATGGGAGTCCTCAGCTTAACCCTGGTGAGGTTTGACCACAACATTTGTGAATGTAAGAACTGATGGTAAGAGCTGACCAGGGAAGGGCTGTGGAAGGCTGGGTGGATAAACCTGCACTTCCACATGTGTCTGTAGATCCTTCTGAGAGTTCCATGCAGGCTGAGGGAGTTCTGGGGCTGTGCTGCATTTGGTGTGGCAATCTCAGACACCCCATGGCACCTCTTGGGCAGAGACAGCTTTAGGATGGAGAGGAACAGGGAAATGGGCAGCCACAGAGCCAACCTTGGGGAAGAGGAGATGGAAAATACCCTCTCCTTCTGAAAACCAGCAGGTTGGGGGAGAAATGTGCCTCTAATGCAGCTCCTGAGGCTGCCTCTGCCAGTGAATCCCAATCAGTATTCTGTTCATCCTGCTCTCTCAAGGAAAGACATAAAAGAGCAGCATAGCCAAAAGGAAGCTATTTTTAGAAGATGGAGAGATGATTTTTTTCCCCCCCAAACCATTCTGCTGTTATTTATGTTGCGTGGTTCTGGAGTTATTTATTTCGGTGGGAGTTGATGCAAAGTGGGATGGGGTTTAATGTGCGGAGGGATGGTGAAATCCATCCTACAGCTGTCCTTGCTATTTCAGGGCTGGCTTTGAAAGTCTTTCCAACCTGCACGTTGAAAGGTGGCTTTTTTGGATGTTATCAAGGTGTTGCTGGTGGCCAGGGGTGTTTGCTGTCCCCCAGTCCCTCCAACTTCCAGTGCACTGCCCATTCTCCTGTGGCTGGCACTGCAATATATTCTAACCTGGCACTCAAGCCACCCATATGCATTTTTAAAACACTAAAAAGGATCATTCCAAGTGTGCTCCAAGGTAAAAATAAAAGATGTTAACACTTTTCATCGATCAAAGCTAATTTATGCAAACTGGGCTCTGCTGGCAGCTGCAGCAAGGTATAAATGGTGACATCATGGAGCGTGAGCTCTGCCAACCTGGGTTAGTGCTGGGATGACAATGGAGTGATTTAGCTATTATGAGCTCACTTAATATTTCATATTAAAGGGGAGCCTAACCTGCAGCTCAGGGTTATGTGAAGTGCACGTTGTGGAGTTGTTTCAGAACAGATTTTGACACAAACTCTGCAGTTGGGGGAAATGTTTGAGTGACACACATATTGCATATGCTGCTACTCTGCAAGGCTGGTGAAAATCCTTTCAGAAAGGAAAACTTACTGGGGAATGTTTTCTATTTTCTGTATATGTGTGCATGTACATAGACACATGCACACCAAAGGGTGGAAAATCTGGAATGTTGTCTTAAGCTTTCTGCTATGAAATCATCACAGGAGAAGAAAGTCACTTGGATCATACAAATATAGCTGCAGTTTTTAAATCCCAAACCCTGTCACTCTCACAATGACAACAAAATACTGTAGATGTGATGGGTCACGAGTTTGAACTTTTAACACCAATTTGAGATTCCAGCCCCTTTTACAGAAACAGTGCTGAAGTGACCTCCCATTCAGTGAGGAAAGCACTGCAGCTGGTCTGAAAAAACATCAAGTAAAGCACCAGGAAAAGAAAAGCTTGTTGTAGTTGATGCTTTGGCTCCCCAGGTTTTCAGCTGATGAGAGAGGATGCTTCTCTCCAAACCTCAGTGGCAGCCCTGCACTGAGCCTGGGAGCCTTCTGTTGCACTGCTCATCTTGCTTTTAAAAAATTGTATTATTAATTGTCAGAAAATTGGAATTACATTTGGAATGACTAGTTTTCCTGCTTAGTGCATGATGAGAAGAGGCAGAATTTAGGCTGAGTGTGTTGGTGGACACAAGATAATTGTGTCCAGACTGTAGGACAGTGGGGTCAAAAGAGCAGGTGGGGACTGATATTCTTCCAGTTAAAACCATAGGCAGGATGCTTTTATATATTTGGGATTAAACACAGGGGTTGTAACAAGGATAACTTGCTAACCTTGGCTACTGCAACAGGAGGCTGGGACAGCTGAACCATGGGAAGGTTTTCCTATTTAGGTGGATTTAGCCACTTTTCAGACCCTTTAAATGACAGGAAGGAATCCTTTAGGATTATCCTAGGAATATGGTGATATTTGCACCTGCAGTTTAAGTCTAAGACTGGCAGTTTCATCCTTGATGACCTTAAGGACCAGTTTTGCTGCTGTTTTTTTGGCAAGAACAAGGACAATGAGTATCCCAGAAGAGATGTGGCCAAGCCCTGAGCCTGCAAAGTGCCTCAGTGTCTGGAAAAATGACTTTTTTACCCTCTAAGTCTCTTATGTTCATCAGTGTCACAAAGCCAGGACTGGTTGCACATTGCTGACCACCAGCAGCCTGTGTTTGAAAGCACATTTTGGGGGTTGCTCTGCATGTCTGAGACATTTCATATTTAGGGAAGGTGCTAATGTTTTCTGCATCCACATTTGAGGCTGTTTTGCAACATCTTCCATAGCAGTGAAATGACTGTGCCACTGCTATGGACACTTATCCAAAGCAATCATTATTAGTGCAAATGTTTAAAATGTAGTGGCACAAGAAATATTCATCAGTATGGTTCTTGAAGTTGCATTAGAACAAGACAAGTGCAAATCCAGAATTGTAGGATTTTTTAGTTATTTAAATGCTACTTTAGGATCTTTTCCTGCCCACAATGAATTTCCTTACAGCTGATTGAAAATTTTATGGTTTTTCAATCAGAATTAGTTCAAGCCACTAGAAAACATCCTTTGTCCCTGTATTGATAGGAACGCAGTATTCTCCTTTCTTCCTGTTTGGCCTCCTCTGCTCTGGATGCAACGGGAGTAAACACAGTGCAAGGATTTGTGTTCCAACAAAGAAGAACAATTGCAGCAGTGTTCAAATTCACAAGGTTTGAGGATTGTAGCTGGAGTTTATTTGAGAGTGGGGGGAGGAAATGTTTATCCCACTTCAATTTAGAGGCTCTCCCTTTGCCTTATCCCTGCTTATCACAGAGGGACAAGCGTTCTTTCCTGTAATGGAAATAATTCCCATTCTATTCCAAAAAACAGCCTAGAAGGCGTGGGATCCCAGGAATAAGCTTCTCCCTCTAGTGGCAGCAGAAAGCGAGATGCAGAACTCTTGGACCAGGTAGTTTATTTTTCTTTTTTTCTCCTTTGGGAAATCATATGAGGTAAAAGAGCTGCTGTTTATTTACAGCTCCAAAGGAATATTAATATGGTACAAAATATCTGCAGCTGCCTCCTGGTTCTCTTTAGTCATTGAAATGCCTCAAAACCAATACACTGAATGGTGTTTCTCTAATTTTTAAGACCTTAAGGCTCAAAGTACAACAGAGACAACTTGAGAAACACAAATTCTGGTTAGTTTGGTGTCCTGCTAATTCCTTGTGGCAGAATAATGGAGCAGACACTGTGCTTGGGAATAAGTGCTGGAATCAGTTCAGCATCCCTCCCTGCAAAGCCTGGCACTGGACAGTCGGCAGAGAGGGAGGGATGGGGATATTCAGAGAACTGCATTGGGGAGTGTTTGAACCATATCTGGGGCTACTGTGTTTATTTGACACATAAAATGCAAACCCACATGCCCACAAGGACTAAACTGCCCTTGCACCTCTGTAGGGAAAAAAAATTTGTATCTATAAGCAGGAGAGGATGAACACCAGCTAAAAGTCAAATAATAAAGTATGTCTGAGAAGAAGGTGGGTTTTGTAAGAAATATTAAATAAGCCCAGTGAACACAGAGAAGCTGAGGCTGCCCCTGGATCCTGGCAGTGTCCAAGGCCAGGTTGGATGGAGCTTGGAGCAGCTTGGGAGAATGGAAGGTGTCCCTGCCCATGGCAGGGGTGGGATGGGATGAGCTTGAAGGTCCCTTCCCACCCAAACCATCCTGGGATTCTATAAAGCCTACCACCTCTTCTGTCCTATTTCTGCTTTCCACCTCTGATGGTGCTTTAGCTACCCAAGAAGAGCATAAACCCAACAATATTGGTTTTAGATGAGCAGAAAGGTTGAACTGTGGAGGGAGCCGGGGTGAAACATTTGTCCCTGGTTGTCTGAATCTGTCACTGGTGTTTCAGTCCCCATGACTGGTGAGGATTTCAGTGTACACTCTCACTTTAATAGACTACATGAAGGAAAGGTGGAACCAGCATCTTAAATTCAGGGAGAATGTGTCCTTCAAGCTCTGGTGCTGAAAATAGTGTTGAGCCAAAGGATGTTCTGTTATCAAGAGAAAACACAAGACACCCTCATCCCCCATGTGCAGCTCAGGCCCCCTTTGATATGGGGCTGCAGCAGAGCTGTCCTGGGCTGGTTTGGGGATGGAACTTGTGCAAACTCCTCTGTGTCCTTGGGAAGCTCCACCTGGCTCTGCCTTGGGAAGGCCTGAGAAGGAAATTGTGGCCAGGATCTGCAGTGACATTATTACATCCTTGGGACATAGGAAAGGTCTGCCTGACCTGGGGGTGACATGAATTAGTCCAGGAACTGGGAAGTCTTCCATGAGGGAGGAGCTTGGTGACTTCAGAGTGCAGTGCAACCTGTGCTCCTTCCAGCTGGGCTTGGTAATTGTCAGGGCAGCCAAATTCCAGCTTCTTTCTTCCAAAGTTAGTGGTATTTCTTGTGTCCTTTCTGAGGGCTGTTTCTCTGGGGCCTGCTCCATGTCAGGGCCCTCTGGGGAGAGGATGTGGCACAGGAATTCTGGCAGGGCTCTGAGGGATGCTGGTGGCTGCCTGGGCTCACCCTTGTCCAAGGGTTGTGTTTTCCTCCCTCCTGATCCTCAGGACCAGCTCACCTTGTTCTGATGTTTGCCCAAGAGGTGCCTGGGGGCTCTTAAGGACAGAAAACTCTCTGGGATTTATTTCTTCCATGCTGCCTTCTGTGAGATGGTCTCACTTTTAGTTACTTTCCAAATCACAGAGCAATATTTCAGGTTTTTAGCACTGTCACTTCTTTGGGTAACACCTTGTCCTGACTCTGGCAGGTACCTGGGCTGCTTTTCCAGCTTCTTGTTTCCTCCCTGGACCTGAAAACTGTTCTAATTTTATTTTACCTCCCTGTAAAGTTTCTTTTCATTCGCTGCCTTTGCTTTTCTTATCGCATTTTATGCTCTCAACTTCATTATGCAATTGTTCCAACCCTGCTCTGTATTTGATGTTTTATAACTCGTGTCTGCCTTTTCTTCCACTGTTGATTACTTTTACATTTTGATGTTCCTTCACACTGGCTTTACAGGGGAAAAAAATAGAAAAAACAACTTGAACATTCCCTGTGCAATTACTGGGAGGTGGCACACACAACCCCCGGGCATACATTAATTTATCTTTGAACACTTTCTATTTCCTCTGTGTCCTTTCTCTCCCCAGCTTTATCATGTTGAATTTCACCCTGCACTTACTCTCCCAACTTTGCTCTGCTAAAATCTAATCTACTTGTTTTCTAACTTCTGGTTGAACATTAATCCTGGTGAAATCCTTAAGGGCTGAGCCCAGAGTCTCCCCCATACTTGCATCCACTCATAATTGCTGGTGCAGGAGCCTTGCTCAGGAATTATTCCTCACAAAAAGCCACCTTCTTCCCAGACATACTCCAGATGAGGGAAAAAATACATGGTGGGACCCCCTGCACAGTAAAAAATGATTTTTCCCCAGTTCCCCAGGTATTGCTCACATCCTCTCCCCCTCTTCAGATTTGTCTTTCCCCTTGACTTGATCCCAGCTGAACATTTCAGCATCTGCCTGATTTTGAGCAGCTGGGACATGGGTTTCAAGTGCTGCAGTTCTGGTACTTCCATAAATTTCCTTAAAAACAACCAACTTGGATTGCTCAGCAAAAAGTCTTCATGTTAATCAGCAGAAGTCTTGAAACACTCTGGATGAGCCCTGGACTTTTCTAGACCTGTAAATCTATTTTCAGGAAACCCCTGAAGGTTATTCCCATTGAAAGCACTTCTTTATACCCACATAAATTCCCAATGCATATAAAATTCTGTCAGGGTGGATACTTTGAGTGTGTTTGTCTTGTTCTTCCATATCTTTATCTAGTTCTTGTATTATATGTAATTAACACATTTAATACTGACTTTAATTGACCTCATCAATGTCATGGCTTATTAAGCTTTTTATCATGTAATGCTCTTTTTCCCCCATCTCTGTAATGATCACATACATTTGTTTATCATAAATTGAGTGCATGTGTTTTGGAAAAATAAAATTGAAATGCCAAGTGCTTTTCAGAAATACTTTCAAGCACAGTAAAAGAGATACCTGGGTGTAGTTAAATTTTTATAAAGTGCAACATGAAAACATGTCTTTACCTTCATTGCTTTCTCTGTCTTCCACCTCCTGCCTTTTTTCCCAGAAAGGCAGCTGACAAAAATAAGAAGGAATATTTCTTGTGCTAAATGAAAACAACTTAAATCTCTTTTTATTTATTTGGTATTTAATCTCAAGTGGAAGCTTGCAATCAGAACCTGTGCTTTCTGTTCAAACTGGAAAAGTATTCTTCACAAATAAGTGTTTGTTTGGAGGGGGAGAAAGCTCTAATTGTAACTCTTGGGTCTCACAATAAATATTTCTGTAGTGAATTTGAATTGATTAATCTGTCACTTTTTTCAGTAAAGTGCAAAATCAGATCAGCTCCCATCTTGCTTATTTACACGGTCAGCTTTAATTTGTCATTAGTTCTATTGAGTAGCAAAGCTTTTAGTGCAGAAGATACCTCTTCCACTTAATGGATAATCATTTAGTGGAATATAATTTAAAAGGATTTATCTGGTCTCTCTGCCATGGCTGTAACCTAACCCCAGCATGATAAACTTTCTCCGGGAGAAGGATTAGCACTTTCTGGTGGCTTTTGCTTGGGAATTTGTTCAGTCATTAGTTCAACACCCAGCTTGGCCAAAGTGTCCTGAGAGCTGCACCTGAGGCCTTGAAACAGTGAAAGTGTTTCTGGCTTTGGCTGCACTTTGCATTAGACCACTTTGTGTCAGGTGATTCAGTAGGTTTCCAATCCAGATCCCTTCCCTGCATTATTTGGAAGAGCAGAGCAAGAAACTCAAGGCAGAGGGTAGGAGAGTTGGAAAGGTTTTGTGTGAGATGAGGGGCCAGGAGCTCTACCTGGAAAAAACAGGGAACACTAAATGAAAACGAGTTCTTGAGCAAGTTATGGGAAGAGACTGGACAGATCATGATAAGAATTTTGACTTGCAGTGGAGGGCCATGGGGGTAAGAGCTGGTTTTTCTCCAGAGCTGCTTTTCTGGGCACCAGAGCTGTATCCCCTCAGCCAGAGGGATGGGAATGTCAGCCCTCCCAGAGAAGCACCCTTAATCAGGGATGCAAGTTGCTGTAACAGTTTGAACTCCTAGAATCTGAAATGATGAAGAATCCTGACTTCAATCCATTTTCTTTCTTCCCCATTGCTGAGCTCTGGCACTCCTGGAAGGTGACAATGGTGGCACTGCAATGTTATGAGCTCCAAAACCAGGGCAATTCATCTTCATGGCTCTGCAGCACGGGGCAGGTGCTGTGACAGTGGAGTTTGCATTAAGTGAAGGTTTGTCCCAGGAAAATCTGCAGCAGGGACAGAGAAGCACTATATAGATCCAAGTAGGACCTTTTTTCAGGGAGCGTGTGAGGATATTTTCAATGGTGTTTGGACTGATGTGCTGGGACAGTGACAGCTGACAGCTGGACCTGGAGTCACCAAACTAAAGCTTTTGGGCAAAAACTTTGAATTAATACATCATCAATAACTGAACAAGTGCAGCGCTCCTCATCAGCATGGATTGACCTTGCTTTTAGTGCTAAATGTGAAAAAAGTCAGGCTTCCCAGGGCTTTAATTTGGTTTTGCTTCTTTTATCCTGGGTCTGCCTGGGTTCCAGAGCTGTCACCACTGGAATAGGATCATTCCAGCTCCTGCTGAAGCTCTGTCAGTAGGGCATGGCCAGGCTTGATGACAGATGTGACAAGAGGGTTTTGGTTGGGTTTTTTTTTGAACCTGATGCTTTCCTCTAACTCTTCTATTCCCCTTATTGCTAAAAGAAGAGTTTTAAACTCCCAAATAGCAAAAACCAAACACCCTCTTCAAAACTCCATGTTGCATTTTTAATGATCTTTTATGGTTGTGTAATAATCCAAAGCAACATTTTGAAGCTTCATTTTTGGAAGGGATTAACAGGGACTGTTTTAATCTTTCCTGTAGTGTATAAACTGCTGGAAAGCAATCCAGCAATCCAGAGGCAGTTATGTTTTCACTGATGCCTGGAATTGAAATACTCGTTGATTTTTACTTTCTTTCTTTTGGCAACATTTCTACTCGAGGAAAGAACTTGAGTGCAATCAATTAAAGAAAGGATCTGATTTGCTTTGTAATTGTTTTTCTGTCTCTATGAATGATGTAAGGGCATTTTGGAAGAATTTACTTCACCACTCTGTCTTTTCTAAAATAACAGGTTTACTGGTTGATTTATGGGTTGTTTGTTTTGTTTTTGTTGTTCTGTCTGTAGGTGAGAAAAAGGTTAATTTGCTTGAGAAATCATGTCTATGCCAGAGAAGGTCAACTTGTTCCATCATCGTGTTCTGCCATTGGAGCTGACCTCAACCTAAGCACGGCACTTTAAGGCAGGAATTAGACATCCTGTTTTTCTCCATGCTTTTCCCAGCATTTGTTTTCTCCTGTTGTCATAGTTTCTCAGAAAAGGCAGGAGGGTGTGACTCCCAGGAATGAATTCTGTTCCCTCTCAAGTCGTGTTTTTGACGTTGCACTTCAAAAACTTCGATTTTTGCTGTGGCTGTGCCAAGCTGTGTCAGGTGTGACTGCCCATGAGCCAAAACACCAAGTCTATTTGGGAATGGTGTCAAAGGCAGGAAAAAACTGTGGAAGCACAAAGATTGGGAAAGACTGGGAATATTAACTTTGTCAAAGTGGATGTCCATGGATATCAAAGCATAGTGAGTCCTGGGGATGTCCCAGCTCCTCTTCCTGTGCTATTCCCATGATTTGCAGGATTCTGACCACAAACGATGGACCAAGGCATCCAAATCCTTGGATCCAATCCAAATCCAGAAGCTCCTGCTTCTTGGAGCCTGGATTCAACTCTTGTCAAGGGGAAATATTCTAGGGAGTGACTAAGGAAGATGAAGTAAACTCCCAATAATGTTTAGCTGGAGGGTTTAGGAGAGGTGGTGGAGGAAATGTTAAAATGTTTGATCAGTCTGTAGGATTCACTCTGGATGCGCCAGAATTTATGTTGGCATCTCCCTATTTCCATTCTTGTTCCAAAGTCACCAGAAGCTTGGAAATTGGCTTGGAGGTTGCACCTCTCATGCTAAATCTGGCTTGGGGAGGTTGTGCAGCTGGAGACTCATCTCCACCCAGACCCAACTCCCACAGTAGTTTTGGGAAATTAATGGGAATGCATTTTGTGACAGCTTAGTGATAAAGTGATGGTTAAGAGGGTGTTGCCAAATTTGAGATACAAGTCAGCAGGAGTCTCTGTATGTGTGCAGTTTTGATGTGTTCTATGTTGTTTCCTGGAAGATCCACATGCAAGAAGAAGCAACTCAATAAATTAAGGGGTTTTTTTCCTAGTAAGTCTCATACAGGGAGTGATACTTTGCTTTTGTGGATTTGCAATTGCTCTTAAGTTACCAGGGATGCTGCAGGGGGGACTGGAAAGAAAATAAGCTTTTTTCCCCATTTCTTTAATTGGATAAGAGTGAAAAATGTGGTTGGAGTTTGTCAGCATAGAAACAAATGTCTGAATTTACTTGCAAGACTTCAATATCTTCAACCTTCCCAGGTATAAAACCCCCTGCAGTAAAAGGCATGTGCACAGGATTTTACATAATTTACTATTTTTGATGAAAAATCTCACCAAAGTGACACCTGAGGCACCACATCCATTGCCCTTTGATAAGAGATGGAAGTTGGTCAGTCCTGCTCTTGACATTTATTAGTGCTGATTCCCAGGGCCAAGGAATGGCAGGAAGAGTTGGTTATACAGTAACTTCTGAACTGGAGGGGCAGAGCTGGTATTAAAGATCTTGGATTTGCTTTAGGCTTCCTGTACATCAGTATAAAGCTGTGGTAGGCTCTTCATGCACTTGCAAGTCAAAACACTTCACAGGTCCTTTTTTTTTTTGGGTAGTTTCTTGACTTTAAAAAAAAAATTATTTTTCTCACAGTAGTTGTTAAAACATTTGCAGAATAAGTGCTGAACTGAAAATAAATTTGTGCATCCACTTTATATTTCAACAATGCACAATAGTTGCTATTGCAGGTTTTACCAGCCTGCAGAATTGGTCTTGGCTTTCCCCTCCTCAGGGCAGATCATGTATCACGCCCTGTTTAACTCCTTCAACAGACACAAGAAGAAATTTCACTTCTACAGAGCAATCAGACCTCCCCCTGCCCTTGAGCCTTCACGGGGAGGATGTATGAGTTGGGATTTTCAAGTACATATTAAGAAGTTTATTGCCAGTGGAGTATGCATAGATCAATATTCAATATAGCTGTAAACACACGTCCTTCACACGGGTGCTGGATGCCCTTCCTTGGGCCTGCAGCTCCCTGGAACACTCTTACAGCAGGCCACAAACAATAAAACATCATCTCTCTGCCTGCCTGGCCCAGGGTTTGCTCAAGCAGGTGCTCAGAGGGGAGATTTTTACACTTTTGACCTATTGGTTTCACCTCCTATTTGATTTTTAACGTGAAATATTCAGGTGAGGAGAGCTCTTTCCCCAGTATTTTACATTGCTGGCATTCACTAGCAGCTGGTGTTTCCTCTTTGTTGGGGCAAAAACCAGATGAAGTGTCACATGTGGATCTTTGTGCTTTGCTGATGGAGAGAGCCCTTGGAAAACTCACCTGAACGTCAGCTGGGGCCGCAGCATTGGTCTGTTAATTAGCATATTCCAAGAAAATTATCAAAAGTTGGACCATTCCCATCCAAAAAACCACAATAACTGCAGATCTTTGGGGGTAGGGTGCTCCCAACCCAAAAAAGGCTCTTTGTCTTGTCCCTAAAGTGAGGGCTACAAATCCTTCTCTGTTAAACTGAGGGGGGAGAATCTGGTTGGCAATAAAAGTTAAACTGCTGTCTAAGGAATTTCTGCTTATTTTGCTGTATCTCATTCAGCTTGAGATTTTTTGAACTGGACAGGGAGTTTGCAGGGATCTGAGGGCTGTCATAGCTGAGAATTGGGCTTTTTATAATGCAGAAGAGTCTTTATTCAATTGTTTATCCTGTGTCAGAAGGGCTGTGCATGAGAAGTAATTGCCAGAGGAGAAAACTCCTGGCAGTTCCCACCGAACCCATGGCACATGCTTGAAGTGCCATCCAAGCCTAAACAGCACTCAAAATAAAACAGGGATTTGTTCCCTTCTGTGTGGATTTCCTGGTCTGAGATATCTTGTCAGGCTGGCAGAAATAATTATTACTAGGAGAAGATGGGAATTCTTCCCTCTAAGATTCCTCGTTCATCCATTCGCCAGGAGAACAATTAATGACAACTCACTAATGGCTGCAACACTTGATTTTCTCTTTGCAGTGGCATGTGCAGTCCCAGGTTTCTGAGTGCTGGGTACTCCCTGCCTGGCCCCAATTACTTTGGCAGGGAGGATGGGATGCTGCAGAGCTTCCCCTGGCAAGGCAATTCCCAGCCAAGAACGGGTTGGAGCTGCTGGCACTGAAGTGGTGTCTGGGAGCAGCTCTGGGTAGTGGGAATCACTGCCTGGCTCCAGCAAAGGAAGAGCAGTTGAGGTTTTAGCTGTGTAATTAATTACCACAGATTTGGATGGGGGTAGGGGAGAGAATTTGGGCTTCAGGGCTGAGTGAAAATATCAGACACTTCCCAACTGACCAAATATTTCCTGTAAGATGAAACCAACAAGACCAAGAGACAGAAAGATGTTAAAAAGAAATATGGTCTAAAATTAAAATAAAGCAACATTTGCTCCATCCAGTTTCCTCATCGAGGCTTTTGCCCTGAGTCTGCAGGTAGAGCATGGGCTGGCATCAGTCTGTGATTTAAGGCTGGGAATCACCAACATTCCATGGTCTGTTTTACTGACCTGGTGGCCCAAAATCTGCAGAGCTGAGCTGGAGAAGCTCCTTTTGGTCAGTCTGGAGCCTTTTGTCCTGGGGCATCCACCAAGCCCATCACCAGGGCCGGGGGAATTAAACAGCACAACCCCAAACCCCCTCTCCTGCACCTCTGACATGTTGCAGAGATAAGAAACCAACTGACTTGGCTGGGACAGCACTAAATGTTTCCAAAATCCTGGTGGATAAATTCAGTATCTTAATATCAGAGGCGTTGGTGGAGGCCAGGAGCTTGTCTTTCACGTCCACTGAAAATGTTATTTTTAGTGCATTACATCTTCAGACTTGAAAGGAGAAAAGCCCAACACTAGCTAATAATTAAGTGATTAACTGTAATAATATGCTGCACATTTTGAAGTGAGCAGTATAGGTTCAGATGAATCAGGAGTGAATTTATACATTAATACTTATTCAAAAGTGTGTTTTATGATTTAATTACAGTTCTAAAGGAACCAACCCAGAGAAGAAACATAATGCCCTGATGTTTGCATTATTCTTACACAAGGAAACATCCAAAGTTTGCCTGTTAATTAATGGATTCTGTGTAATTTATTTATATCTCTACTGCCTTTCCCATTATGCTGCTATGGCTGATCTTGGGAAGCAGAGAGGGGAGACTGAGTTCAGGAAGGGATCACTCCTCATCCCAAAAGTGCTGCTGTAGCAGAAACAGCCTTTGATCCCAGAGAGATGGTTCTGAGATTTAGGACTTGCAGCGTTCCCATTGCTGAATATGTAATTTAGGTCACTGAACTATGTTTTGGTGGAAGATACTTATCTATTCCACTTCTTGCTGATGTCATGTGCTGGGAAATCAGATGTTAGAGTGCAAAAATACATGAGAGGCCAGGCTTAAAATGGCATAAAATATAAATGTCTCTGTGACTGGATGCAGCTCCTGGTGGTGGTTGTTGGGGATGAGGGTCACATCCTTTCTTTTCTGCTTCATTGTCCTGCTCCATCCAAACTCTGACAAAAATAAAAAAATCTGGTTTATCTCTCCCTTGATTTTTGGTGCAGAAGAGGAGCAGAGAAGCCCCAACCCACTGTCTCCTACTTTCTCTGCTCTAACTCTGTTCAATTTGGGAAAGCTGAGGGTGTTAAATTCAGGTGTTTTCCCTGTATCTCCAACAGAGATGTTCACTACCTACAAGAAAGGTTAATTCAACCCAAAATGTCCCTCTTAAAGAGAATGTGGGTTTTAAAAGGTGTGTGGATACCTTGTTTTGAGAAGAATTAGTAAATCATGTCCTGGTTTAGTGCAGTCATGGCAGGCAGTGATGGTCTGTAGTTAAATTCTCCTCTCAAGGTTTGCTGTGTGCACTGTCAGCTACTTCTGTAGTTTACCAAACTATTTTTTTCCCCTTTCTCCCTCCTTCCCCTTTGAAAATCCTCCATATTTTTACTTTAGGGAAATTGTTAACAGGGAGCAGGCTCGGAGGAAGATATGGAGGGGCTTATCTTAGTTGTAAAATTACTCAGAAGTTCAACTGATAACAGCAATGCAAATTTAAATAAGTAATAAAAACCCTCCAAACCTCACCCTTGGGTAACAAAAAGAAAATATGGCTCTGAGATAATTCATCAGGCAGTGCTCAGCAAACACAAAGAGAAAAATACATTTTTCCCCCCTAATTCTTTCAGGGTAGAAGAAAAAAAATCAGGAAGTTTTTCTCTTCCATCTATGAAATTTTAGCAAACCGTGATCAGTAAAGCAGTTGTGAGAAATATCAGCTACCCTTGCTAGCTAGTATTTGAAAATCTCTGATTTATAGCAGCAGCTGATGCCAAGATAGCAGCCTGGATTTTGCAGATCAATCTCCTGTAGCTGCTGAGATCTGAAGTATCAGAACTACCAAGTTCACATTTTCTGTATTTTTCTTTATCAGATTCCAACCCATCTGTAAAAGTCCCCAGCTTTCTGACACTGTTCCTATTGAACAACATAATCCAGGGAGCCTACAAATTGTTAATGGTTCACCTTTTCAGTGAATC